TCATACGAATGGTATGACGCTTCATACAGGTTGTCTATGTCCTCTTCCTCCTCCCCCATTTCTACCTCTTTCAGGCCATTTTGGGCAGCGAGTTCTTCACCTTTTCCTTCCTGCATTTTTGCATCCTTTCCTTTTTTGTCAACCACCTCCTTATCAGTTTGGCTTGTCTTCTCCACGTTCCTTTCCTCCCTCCCAACTTGTACTTGATTTTTCAAGTACTTACCTTCTCCTCTCCCTCGCCCTCGCGCCCAATCTGCATCTTGCTGGTATCGTCCCTGCAATTATGGTGGGAGCTACCCCCTGGGCCTTTTTCCCCGGTAACTGTTCTTTCTGAGTCTCCCTTCCTTTCTTCTCCTTTTGGCACTTCATTGGGGTTGGGCTGCTTGCTTGCTTTATCTGAAACATTGTTGGCTTCAGTGGTTCTCTGGCCTTTATTTTGGATTACCTGCCTCCCGTTTGAGCTCCGTGGTTTCCCTGCTAAAGAATTGTGCATGCGCCGTTTTGGATCTGATGCACCCACATTGAAGGAGCTCGGGATCAGAGTAGCACTCTAAATGACTTGCTGAGGGATTTTGAAAGCATCAAGGTTCTTCTGTGGCTGTTGTTGTCTCAGCGCCCCCGCATGCAGTCCACGATTGTCATGTACCGAAGTAAGAGAGGACGGTCCTTGGCTGCCCTGAGCCCCATCTTTCCCTGTTTTTTGCCCACCACCCTGCATTTTGTTTTGCTCGATGGTGTTTACTTGGATGTCGAGGGGGCATGTAGCGGGAGCGTGGACTGCGTAGTCTTTACAAAAGTGATAGTAATCCGTGTACTATGTGACCACCCTAATGTCAATGGTAAATCCATTCTGCTGTGGCCAGGCCAGATTTTCAGGGACCCGGTGTCTGCGATCCCTGGGAATATCAAACTTCAAGTTGTTCAATTTGGGAGCATCCTCGAATTTCTCAGATGGGTATTGTTTACAAATTTTACCGACGCCAAAGGCGATCCCTGATCTGACCCACGGTACAACTTTAACTGGCACTTTCAATGCCATCACCCAGATCTTACAGATTGCATCTTCTAGGCGCGATTCCTCGATCTCTTTCTGTGACATCCATTTTTTAAATGACATCTTGTACATCTGGCCCCCTACCTTCAGTTTGTGTGCACCGATTTTCAGTAGGTATTCTACTTTCTGTCTGTCTCTCGGCATATAGGACATAACATTCCGCCCTTCCTGATGAACCCTGCCTCTTTCCTTGTGGTGCATCGTGGCAGGGAGGAGAGTGTCTTCGAGGATTCTTATACATTCTTCCTTCTTTTCAGCAGAGACAGACCGGAACGAACCTTGGAAAAAAAACACTACTACGTTATCTCTGAGCCACTGTTCTTGACCTTCCTCGATCTTTGGATCCAGTTCCATCCTTACCGTTTTCCCAACCGTCTCAAAACTGGTCAGTTTGGATGTGTCCGGAATGACTATTCTGTCATAGTATTTTTCGAACAATTGTCTGCCGGTGGTTCCGGACCTGCATTTTCTACCCCCTCACCTACCTCCTCTTCTTCCTCATCAGACTCCTCCTCGGCCGACCACCAAAGAGTTCTCGGGTATTGATTGCTTTTGTGATCTTTAGTGGGGGTTCGTGGCTCTCTTCTTTCCGGATCAAAACGGGCGTCTTGTGAGCTAAGCCTGGTTTCCTCTCTCCCCTCCGTTTGTGTGACTGATCCTACGCCCGTGTGCTTCTTTTTGTTGCCGAAAATAAATGCAAACCTGTTCTCCTCACTCGATTTGCCTTTATCGTTCATTCCTTGTTTGTCGCTTGATGAGTTTTTTTCCACTTCATTTTGTGACTTTCTCCAAAACGGTGTAAAAGCACGCCAATCCTTGACCCCAACACCGCTCATACCGTCACTCCCCCCACTAGAGGCAACAGTCCCAGGATTCCCGTTTAGCAGTATCCCATCGAACGGGTTAGCTTCAGTCCCCATCTTTGTTCAAAGTAGGTTTTTTCGTTATAGTGCGAAGCCTTGTTGAAGACTAGTGACACGTTAGCATATACCCAGATAGACTTGAAGGTCGTCCAAAGTACCCGAGATCTTGCGAGCGTTGTTCAAGATTGAGTAGGTATAAGGGTTTATTGGTCTGCTGTCCTGGACTTACGAGCAGCATCTAAGAAGTGCCTAGGCATCAAATATCCCACCTGCCATGTATGAAGCCTGTTTCCAGGCTTTATGCATGTGCTCTCCCCCCGAGATGACCTCTCATCCAAAAATGATCTTCACACAAAAGTGCACAGGGCGGGCTGAACTTCGAGTTTTGGTGCAGGCCGCCCTAACGCTGTGCCTGACTTCCGTCGGCGCGTCCGTGATCAATCAGAATACACTCTGGTGCTTTTTTTTTTCTTTTTTTTTTTTCAGACTGCTCCACTTCACAACTGGCCGTAAGGTATGTTCCCATGGTGCACTACAATTACGAGTTTCGCAGTCAAGTCTGGAATGGTACCTGAACAAGATCCGACCGTGAGATTCTTTTTTTCTGCCCTTATTTAACGGCCTGAGTTTCGCCGGTGACTCCGTGATGGGACCCCCATGCTATGCCAGACTACGGCAGCCCAATCCCGTATACTTTCTCGATACAGTACTTATAGCCTCTCCCCGTTTACATCCCTAAAGCTGTCTAGGTTAGAAACCTACTTCCGTATTTCGAGGATGCTGCTTGTTGCATACTGGAGCGCGCTGAGCTTCCCGAATAAGCAAGGACTTCAACTAATGTCTGAAAACGTATCTAGACCCCGTCCTTCAGCAAAGGCTCACGCCTGTGGCTATCAGATCTCTATGTATGCAGAATAGATATTAGTTAGTATTCAGGGCGTTGGCGGTGTACTGAACAGGAAACAATTTGTGAACGGGGAGATAATATTCCTGCAACTCCACGTTTCATTTCGTCGCCTTTCACGTACACATTCACTCCATCGCCCTGATTCACTGTACTCGTCCTCTTCGAGTTTATTCTTCACTTCTTCCTCAAACAAAAAGTACGGCTGCAGAAGCCCAAAAAGGGAGGCACTCCAAAAAAGATCAGCGTTTCCGCCCTAGGGCGGGATCTTCCATGGGAAGGTCACGAAGTGCCACGAGCTCTTCAAGTCGGCATGTTCGATGTATTCAATACTTTACGTTAGACACATTCCCTCACCCACCAACTATCCTTCGCAAGGGGAACGAACTCACTCAGTAACGTCCAACGTGCATCGTGCGAGTAATGCACAGTCGTCGTGAGAGGAAACTGTCTCGCCCGTGCTTTGCGCGCCGGGCTATGGGAGCCGAGTCCTGTTTTCTAACCCTATCTCAACTAGCACAAACACTGCGTTGCATAGTGCGCTTCGGCGCCGCCGCTACGCAGGTCCCCCTCCTTCCTCCATTTGTATCCATTTCCCCCTAAATGGGGAAAAAGGTGCCGCAGGCCCCAAAATCACTTTCCGCATCGTTTTTGCACCCTGCAAAACACTTTCCAACCATTTTTACATAGCGGCCGTTAAGGGTCCAGCCAGGGTGTAAAAATAACGCGAGAGTTTGCAGCCAGAGGCCGCGCTTACCGCGATTGTTCCTTTGTCGTTTTGTGGGGTTTTTTTTTTGGGAAATGTCGTGGACGTTCAATGAGGTTTGTCGGGGTCTTTTCGGGGCTTAGGAAAAAGTGCAAAGGGTGCGCTCGCGGCTAGGAGACGGACCGGTAGTGTGAGTGGTCGTGGTAGGCTTTGGGTATTGTACATCTAGTGGTCGTTTCATTCGGTCGTTCGGGTTTGTTGTGGACGGCGACCCGGTTTCCTTTTTGGGTGATGATAAATGGTTTGGGGACGGGTGGAAAATGGGCATCGGGGGGTCATGGAAGTCGTGACGACTCAACCCTTTTCCAGTTCCCGGTTCGCTTTGTTGGGTTGGGTGCAAAGCAAAATGGAGAGCGGGGGGTCATTAAAAAAAATTGAATCGATCGACGGGCGGGCATCAAAAATTTTCTTCGTTTTTTTCCCTTTTTTTTAAATAAAAAAAATGCTTCGCCAAGGCAGCCCGGGCTCAAGAGAGAGCCTCGCTCCACTACACAACATTCTACATGCATTTACATGCCTTCTAGACCAGATCCATTCAGAGTATTGGACTCATCCTAATGCACCTGGTCGAAATACCGTCTACATGCATGTAGTATATTGTGTACTGAGGGAGCTGCCTCGCATAGTCATCCCCGCAGCCCCCGAGGGGTCATGAAAGTCATGACGACTCAATCCTTTTCCAGTTCCCGGTTCGCTTTGTTGGGTTGGGTGCAAAATGGAGAGCGGGGGGTCATAAAAAAAATCCAAAAAAACTCGAATCGATCAACGGGCGGGCATCAAAAAATTTCTTCGTTTTTCCCCCTTTTTTTTAAATAAAAAAAATGCTTCGCCAAGGCAGCCTGGACTCGAGAGAGAGGGCCTCGTTAGACACTCCTTGTGGACCCGAAATCCACAAGGAAATGATCGTTCCACCTGTCCTTGGGGACGATTCTCGAAAAAAAAAATGAAAACACCAGAAGGAGATTTCCTTGTGGCGTCCTTGTGGCCACAGCTTATTTTTCCTTAACCCGAAGGGACCTCCCGAGGTCCCTCGGAGCACAAGGAAGTGCGTATTTTGGAGCAGCGAAGGCATGCGTCGACGCACAATTTCGGTTTGAGGGTGGCCCAGACGTGGTCCAGCGAACCGGAGCACGGACATCCCTGCGTCCAAAATCTGCACGGCGCCCCAACGGCTCCAAATGGTAACCGGCGTCAGGAGGCCTCCGTCCGTCGACGCGAAATGCCGGCCGGCATCCAATCAGGTCTGCTGCGGCGGGCGATCGTCGACAACGGTCAGCAATTCGAATGCTTTTCCTACCCGGCGCCCCTTTCGACGACGAAAGTCTCATTGGACAAGATCGTCGTTTTCTTCGATTGTCGTCACGCCTCGCACGTTGGAGCACAGAACTTTCACCGATCTTTCTTGTGTCGACGGGCTTGTTTGTTGAACGGTCGACCGCCGACGTCACACTGAAGCCCTTCGAACGACCCTTACATGGCTGACCTGTTGCACAGGCTGCCTCTGCTGGTCCTCGTCGTCGTGCTGCTTCTCGTCGTTGTCTTCTTCAACGTGTGTTTCGTGGGCCTCGTTCCGCTCGCGGCTCGCAGAAGGAGATCTTCGAAGAAAGCCGACAGGATAGATCGACGACTAGGCAACGGCAGACCGGCATGCACGACCTCCGGATCGAGCAATCGGCAACACAGTGCGGGGTCTGTGGCGAAGCGGCCGTACAACCCGAGTTTGTATGCACAACTGCCTTCTCACGAGATTCCTCTGCCTCCGTCGGATGACGAGGGGGGAGACGCCACGTCGTCGACTTTGCCGTCGAGAAGTGGGTCGACGCAGGAATGGGCGGCGACGCAGTCGCGCGGCGGCAGGCGGGTGGAGACCCCGTGGTCTTACACGTCACTGCTTAACGAGGGGCTGTGCGACGATGACGGCAATGCAGCGGTTGATCTCAGCTTCCAGTTGTCCAACAGCAGCGGAGCAGCAGCAACGCACACTCAGATCATCAATCCCCACCCGGGTGTCGATTGTGCGAACAACACGCACGATGGTGTATGCGGACCGCGAGACGGCGGTCTGCCTCAATCGCTTCGTGAAGGTGGTGGTAATCGGAATGAGTCGACGTCCACCGAGGAGTCGGTGCGCGTGAACGTCCGGAGTGGATGCGGTTGTCACCTGCGTCGCGAAGCGGAGCCGGCGCTCCTCCTCGACAACAGCGGCCGGAGGGTTTGCGTGAGGAAGGTGCGGACTTGCACCGCGACGGGAGGCAGTTGTGGGCAGAGTGCAGGCAGACCTTGCATCAACGTGGAACGGAGACAATCACGAGAGGGGTGCAACGGCTCCACTCGGACGAAGCGGACGAAGCTGCTGTTGAGGAGGCCCAGGGGTGTGACGACGTTGACCGTGACGACAATTGCAACTCCGACGATTTGCCAAACATTAGGCCGCTGGGGAGGAAGGCGACGAACGGCGGAGTGGCTGCGAGGAAGGGTCCCGCTACGAAAAGTTGACGGAGCAAGAAAATGGATGACGACACGGGCCGGAGCGATGGCGAGGGCAGCCGAAATTTTTGGTCGGTGGGAGACACGATCGCACTCGTCAGGGCAATAAGGGATCAAGATCTCTATATCGCCGACATGGGTACCAGTTTCGTCCGCATGAAAACGAGGGAGTGAAAGTGGAAGGACGTGAGGGCGAGGTTGCAGTCCATGGGCGTGACGAGGGAGGCCGTCGACTGCGGGAAGAAATGGGACAACTTGATGCAGCAATTCAAGAAGGTCCACAAGTTCCAGAACCTCTCCGGCTGGAAAGACTACTTCAAGCTTGCATCAAAGGCCAGGCGATCGGAGGGCTTCAGCTTCGTCATGGACCGGAGCGTGTACGATGAAATAGAGGCCATGACGAAGGGGGATCACACGATCCACCCGAAAAATTTGGCAGACATGGGGGCGGCCGGTGGGGTTCAGATGCGTGCAGGCGCGGGGGCTGCAGGGGACACAATGGCCACCGACGGTGGAGGGGAGGCAGCCGACGAGGAGCAGGGGTCGACGAAAGACTCCACATTCAGCGCGAGGAGCGGCGGCGGTTATGGGAAGAGGAAGAACATGCGGCAACAAACCTTTGAGGTCGTCGCCGAGGTCATGGACAAGCATGGTGCGCTTATGGCGAGTACAATGGACAGCGCGAGAAAGCGGCAATGCTTGATGATGTTACGTCAGTGCGAAATCTTGGAGAGCGAAGTGGAAGTGCAGAGGGAACATTATGCTGTTGCGGATGAGGCAAACAGAATGATGTGCCACGCCCTTATGGAGATAGCAAAAGCCATCCGCGAGAGATCATGAGTGATGCTGCCAGTAACGTCCATTGTTGCTTTAGTGGCCTCTCTCTCCACTCGTTGCGCCTGCGGAGATGGCGATGTGATGGCGGTGTGTGTGTGTGTGTGTGTGTGTGTGTGTGTGTGTGTGTGTGTGTGTGTGTGTGTGTGTGTGTGTGTGTGTGTGTGTGTGTGTGTGTGTGT